AACTTTACACACTTCTTAGTTATATTAACCTTAAGATCTGTATACATTTTGGTGATGATTCAAAATTTATTTTTGAGTTATTGAGTATTTTGTAAAAAAAAGGGGGAGGGGTTTTTCACATGTCGCGCCGTATCTCAAAAACGATTTATGATTATTGCTTAAAATTTTACACACTTCTTAGTTATATTAATCTAAAGATCTGTATACTTTTTGGTTTTGATTCAAAATTTTGTTTTTGAGATATTTATTTTTTTTTTTTTAAAAGGGGGGTTTTCACATGTCGCGCTGCATCTCAAAAATGATTTATGATTATTGCTTAGAATTTTATACACTTCTTAGTTATATTAATCTCAAGATCTGTATACTTTTTGGTTTTGATTCAAAATTTTATTTTAGAGATATTGAGTTTTTTGTAAAAAAATAAGGGGGTTTTCGCAAGTCACGCCGTATGTCAGAAACTATTTATGCTTATTGCATAAAAATTCACACACAAGACGACGGGCGTATCATGCGCTCATGGCGCAGCTGTTTATTATGTAAAGTAGTAATTTTGTCCAGTTATAAAAGGTCAAAAATTAGTATGTCTGAAGCTGTCAAACTGAATTATAGACCCCCTTAACATAGAATTGTCCATATTTTGAGTTATAAGCTCTACCAATTGTCCATATACGTCAAAACTGTTAGACTAATTCTTATAGGAGTTATTGCCCATAGATGACAAATTTTACCATTTTTTTCATATGAAAACTGTGATATTTAGAGAGAAACATTTTTTTCCCATCATGCCTTATATGATTTAAATTATTATAGATAAATAAACACTTTAAATCACAAAAATGATCAGCAAGGCAAGATCTATTAAAAAGTCAAATTTTGCCGATATAGTTAGTAGACTCACTCTTCATAGGAGTGATTGCTCTTAAATGAGAATTTTTTTTAACCTCTTTTGTGTTTTGAGCAAAAACTAAAGAAAATAGAAAGAAACTAAACAGACTAAAAGATCAGTAATACCAGATCAACAAAATAGAGATTTTTGTCATAAAGTCTATTCTCGTCTACTATGTTGGAGAGTGTCCTTTGTTTGATATAAACATACACCAAGGTGAGGGACAAGCTCTTTAGAGCCTCTAGTTTTTATCATTAACCTTTTAACATTCTATTACCTGAACAAAAAAGATGTTTAAGAAACAGATTTTAGAGTACAGTTTGAATCCCATATCCCTGTAATTATGGGAATTATCCTACATATGTTATTTCATTCCAGATACTTTATAAACCATTACGGCATTAGAATTAGATCACATTAGCTCAAATATATATTATAAATGCTTTGATTATTTGAAATTGTGATATATCTAAAGGGTGGATTTAATTTTCGTTGGAAGGGGGTCCATAATACCATGGCTAGCATGGTTAGGATAATTGGCATATATTTTTCATTAAAGATACCAATTATGACATTATGACTAGTTCTTCTATTAGTTTAAACGCTTTTATTGATTTAACTTTTTAACTACAGGGGGTTCAATATTCCATGAGGGGTTCAAATAATAATGGAGACAAAAATTTACCCTCTGGTATATTTTTCATAAGGTGTTTTGACCCAGGTTTACATATGGTATTTTTTTCCAAAAGGAATTTATTTTACAGATTATTATAATACATTTTTTTGTAATAGACTTGGGTTAAATGAAGAAATTTTGCTTTCTAACTAATAGATTTAAATTGCAAAGAGAGATACTTGCTTAACTCTCATTTTTTGTCTCCAAAAATTTAGTAAAATCTGGATGGCTTGACTGAAAGGGTTTCATGTGGGTCTCATTGGGGTGTAAGCGTGATGCGGGAATTGCTGATTTTTTGTACATGTAAGAGTGACATGTGAAAGTCAAATTATTTTGCGTGAAAACAGGAAATGAAGTCGGGTATGACACCTGAAATTACAAACGCTGTTGTTGCAATGATAAGTGGGATACGGGATTCTAACAAAACAATAATTGGGATTGGGGATGAGACCCCTCTTTCATGCCAAAGAATATAAACTTGAATGATTGGGTTTTTAGATTTTAGATAAGAAGTATTTTTTTTTACCTATTAACTGAAAAATATCTTACAATTCTAATTATCTGAAAAGCTGTCACTTACAATATGTAGGGCTACTGATTATAAAATGTCATTTTAATTACAGTATTGCTACAAACATTTCATATCAATTAAAATTTTGCTGTTGTCAGTCTTTAGTATAAATATTGGTTGTAAACTTTGCTGACCACACAGAGTAAAATAGTAACATAAGTAGAATTTTATTAATACACTAGGAGTCATATTGTATGGACATATGAAACTTTTGCTTGCTGCAATATTCCAGAGTCTGTTTCCTATCATGATTTTCTTGATAGAGGGTTTCTGCTATTAAGGAAGCTATTAAACCAAGAATTCAAGTGGTCATGTTAATGTCATCCCTTTGAAAATTTTATGGACGCCATCTTGAGTTGGTTGACCATATGGAATATATTCTTTTCACAGATGATTACAGATATGTTTGAATTGTCATAATCACAATCCTATATTGTTTTCCTCAGATGTGACATTACCAAATGAAACTTAACACTGAATGTGTACTTACATGAGCAACATGATGGTGTTACATGTAAAATCTGCTTACCCTTCCGGAACACTTGAGATAGACCTATGTTTTTGGCGGGGTTCTTGTTGTTCAGTCTTTAGTTTTCTATCTTCTGCTGTTTAGACTGTTATTTGACTTTTTGTTTATTGTTTTTATACCCCACGCAACGAGTTGCGGAGGGTATAATGTTTTTGACCCGTCTGTCCGTCCGTCAGTCCAGAATTTCATGAAACTTTGTAGATAATAAGGACATACTAGGTAGATGTGCATATCGACAGGAAATTATGATTCAATTTTTTTTCTAGGAGTTACGCCCCTTTGAACTTATTTGCTTCAATATACCTCTGCAACAGTTTGTCATCGCAACTCCTCTGAAACCACACAACAGAATTTCATGAAACTTTGTAGATGTGCATATCGACAGGAAATTATGATTCAATTTTTTTCTCATACAATTTTTTTTTCTTACAGTTATTTTATTTCTCCAGTGACAATGTGGGGACGTGGGGTATGTGAGCGCGCTCACTAAGGTTCTTTAATTTGCCATGGCATTGTTAGTTTGTCTTAGACTTTTTGAATTCTTTGAATATCCCTTTGATATCTTCCACCCCTCTTTTATCATACAGTCTGTGCAAAAAGCTGCTAACCTTAGCCTTATAATTTTATTTCTAAGATGTCAGGATATGCTCTTTTAATTATACTGTAAATTAAGAAATTATTGCGTGCTTTTTCATTGTGATTTCGACATGGCAGATCTAAATGTTAGAACAATTATTGTGATTACAGGAAAATTTGCATACAAATATATGTGGCAGATTTCAGAATGCAAATTGTTGTTAGGTCCGAGGACACAGTTATCGTCCTTTGATTTTTGTTATCTACAATTATAGTTCCTAGTGTGGACAGTGTATAACTTGCAAATTTTTTCCATACACTTTCCAAATTTATTTATATTTTATGCATGAAAAAGTAAGTATGGGGATGAAATTACATGTTGAAAAAATTTGGTTGATGAATTTTTATACGCCCGTCAAATTTTTGACGGGACGTATTATGGTATACAAATGTCCGGCGTCCGTCTGTCTGTCTGTCTGTCTGTCCGTCTGTCTGGCATAAACATGTCGCACCGTAACTTGAGAATGACTTATCCAAATTTCATGAAACTTAACATAGTTGTTTCTTATGATGGTCAAACGATCTGTATATTTTTTGGTGAAAATAAGATTAAAACTTTTTGATTTACGGGACTTAGTAACTAAAACAGGTGTGTGTTTTTTTTTCACATGTCGAGCCGTATCTCAAAAACAATTTATGATTACTGCTTAAAACTTTACACACTTCTTAGTTATATCAATCTTAAGATCTGTATACTTTTTGGTGATAATTCAAGATTTTATTTTAGAGATATTGAGTATTTTGTTAAAAAAGGGGGAGGGGTTTTTCACATGTCGCGCCATATCTCAAAAACAGTTTATGGTTATTGCTTAAAACTTTACACACTTCTTAGTTATATTAACCTTAAGATCTGTATACATTTTGGTGATGATTCAAAATTTATTTTTGAGTTATTGAGTATTTTGTAAAAAAAAGGGGGAGGGGTTTTTCACATGTCGCGCCGTATCTCAAAAACGATTTATGATTATTGCTTAAAATTTTACACACTTCTTAGTTATATTAATCTAAAGATCTGTATACTTTTTGGTTTTGATTCAAAATTTTGTTTTTGAGATATTTATTTTTTTTTTTTTAAAAGGGGGGTTTTCACATGTCGCGCTGCATCTCAAAAATGATTTATGATTATTGCTTAGAATTTTATACACTTCTTAGTTATATTAATCTCAAGATCTGTATACTTTTTGGTTTTGATTCAAAATTTTATTTTAGAGATATTGAGTTTTTTGTAAAAAAATAAGGGGGTTTTCGCAAGTCACGCCGTATGTCAGAAACTATTTATGCTTATTGCATAAAAATTCACACACAAGACGACGGGCGTATCATGCGCTCATGGCGCAGCTGTTTATTATGTAAAGTAGTAATTTTGTCCAGTTATAAAAGGTCAAAAATTAGTATGTCTGAAGCTGTCAAACTGAATTATAGACCCCCTTAACATAGAATTGTCCATATTTTGAGTTAGAGCTGGTAGACTTTTCTATAATTTTGATATTTGTCCCAAAAGTAGTACACTACACTGTAAAAATCTTTTAGAGATAGAGCAGGTGTGATTTTTTTTAATTTGAATTTATTGTCTAAAAGAAATGCACTACAAAATAACTGTGTTCTCAATCTATTATTACAATACTCACCCAGTCGCATTATTGGCAATTATTTCTGAATTTATAGTATACAAAATGATTGTGTTTGCTTTCATCTAAAACAGGGATGGTGAGGCCATGATGGAAGTTGAAAGATATGACCTTGAAGATGGGATACAGACAATACCTGAAAGTCCACCTTTGGCAGACAGCAAGACAAGCATTGCTGAGGTCACATTTGAGGAAGAAATATCATCTACAACTGACTCTCTAGTAATTGAATGTGGTAGTATAAGAGTTGGCAGCCTGAAAGGAATATCTTTAGTACCAGTAATTATTTCTACCAAGTATATTGAATTTAAACTTCAAATAGAAGGTATGTATCATAGATAGAGAAATACATACTGTAGTTTCAAAAATTTTTGCAATGTTTTAATAATCGTGAAAATTGCAATGGAGTAGGTATCCAAAAATACCTCTGAAAAAAATATATATATAAGAATGCTTCAAACAAATATTTGCTGTCAAAATTTAAGTTTTTATTTTAGCAATCCCAAAAATTTCTTAGAGCTTTTTTCCTTATGCTTGTAAAAGTTTGGTTGGCTTGCTTGCTTTGCTTGTAAAAATGTTTGCTCAAGCATTGTAATTAAGATTGACATCTGCAATCAATAGATAGGCGGTCTTCAGCTTGTATACATTATACTTAAATTTTATTGGATGTTAAGTATAATGCAAAATATAATGTATATAAGCTGAAGCCCCACCTAAGATCAACAACACGGACAGGAAAACACTTAATTAATATGATAGAATAGACCACTCTACAGTTTCTATAATTTAATAATTATTTTAGCAAATAACACGCTTGGGCAAAATGATTTAAACAAATATTTTATATTCTATGCACATTATATCTAACATTCTTGTTCAACTTTATTATCCTCGTGCGGGTGCACTCGACTCCAATCTTAATTGACTAGGAGTGTCAGTTTTACTATCAAAAGGTCGTGGTTTTCTCCGGGCACACCGGCTTCCTCCACCAATAAAAACTGGCCGCCATGAAATAGCCAAAAAGCGGTGCTTAAAAGTGGCGTTAAAACACCAAAAATTAAAAATCAAATCAACTTTATTATCATACCTACTTTCACTTTCAACTTATACTTACCATTTAATGAAGAAAAAAGCAACTATAGGTCACCGTACGGCCTTTAACAATGAGAAAACCCGTATTGTAAAGTTGTCTATGAAAGGTCTAGACAACAACATCATTGAACATGGTAACATTATCACTTCCCGCTGTTGTACTTCAGCGCAATTTTCTGTATTTTTTTTTCCTGATGACGGTGCCCTATGCAACGAAAGATGTCAGTCTTAGTAAATTACTACAGCAACCCATAAAGTGTTGTTATAGTCTTCACATTTAATACATTGTAAACTGTTTTCATCTTTGTTAATTTCAGGGGAGAAAGGTGTACATTGCATAAAGTTACAGTCAGATGAAATAATGCAGTGTCTCTATGGACAGAAGTATGGTGTGATATTTATAGTAACAAACATTGAAGCTGGAATTAAAATCAGGAGTGTCCTTGGCATGAAGAAAAAGGTTAAAAGAAAGCCATACTTAGACCCTCATGGACCAGGTTAGCAACATACTGTAAATCCAGAAATCCTTAAGAGGTTTTTAAAAAAAAGACTTAAGCTATGTCTGTAAAATTTAGTCAAGCTTACTACTTGGAAGAATATTTAAGTTAGTTAAAAAAAATTGTTTTGGACAGGTTTAAGAGTCATAGTTATACTAAAAGGTATTTGTCTTTTTCAGTTGGCCAAGGTTTATTTGTGGCTTTTTTTTTTGCCTATTCTTGCAAACTACAATTCGAACAGTTAAAAAGTGTGTTACAATGCTACAAGAATTTTACTAATGAAGAATTCTTGATAGAACTTGATGAACATTCACAGCATAAAGTGTTGCTTGAGACATTGCCAAATACTGGTCCAGAAAAGAAAGAATTAGTGATTTTAAAGGCATTAACCAGAGCAGCTTCCACAGACTTCAACAACAATTTTGTCTCCATGGAATCAACTCAAACAGCCGTTGATATGAACATGTTTAAACAAGAAAGGTGACTATATGATTTAAATGTTTTATCGTGTGTCTTTTAGTTCTTGTATCAACAGAACTGCTGTTTTGCTTCAAAACAGGACAGAGACCTATATTATATTTTTTTTTGTTGGTCTCTATGGTTTGAAACTTGTCATGACTAAAATTGTAGGCCGGGTTAACGTGTTAAGGATGTTGGCTCTTCTTGTTTTTGAATTTTTGTCAGATATTCGGAATTCTCTGGTTTTATCCTTGTAGTGCTAATAAATATTTTGCTCGCTAATCCCTACTTTTCTTTTCATAATATTATTACATATAGTTTAAAAGGCCATATTGAAAATCTTATAACGTCCTTGTTATTTTTTCATTGTTTTTGAAAGAAAAAGGTGCCAATGATAAATGTATGAAAAATCTAGAGAGAATCATTTCCCGCCAAATTTTCAATGGCTTATATCTCGAAAAAAACAAGCACACTGACACTTCATTCTTTTCTGCTTTTTTAGTTCCTTCATTTATATATTATCAATTTATAACAGTCTTTTAAAAAGCTTGTTATTTTAAAACAGAGTAGTGAACATCCTTAAGGTAAGATTTCAGATAGATGTATTGAGTTGAAAGAGACGACTTTCAAATTCATGCAATTTCCCCTACACTTCCTATGTCACAATGCTTATGTTATTACATCACAGTAAGAACAGATTGTTCAATGACGTCATTTACCATTTACACCGATTGTCGTCTTAATAAACACTTTGAAATTGGTCTATTGCTTCTCCTGATAAAATTGAGAAATTGGAGTCAACATTTCTTTTACAAGTTGTACCCCAAGATGCTACTGATTATAAGTTTACTAAAAAAAACATTCTGGTTAATAGTGAAAAAGGAAAAAAAAATAAGATAAAAACATTGCCATTTTGTTTTAAATACTTATTCATTGACACTCATTCATGGTTGTTGTATTTCAGTGAAATAAAGGCTTTCTATGTACCAGTTTGGGGACCAGGTGGTCATGTTGATGTACTATGGCATCGAGCTATTGAATGGTGTACTGACTGTGGACCTTGCTCTGGAAAATGTATTGGTTTCTGTTCTGTAATACTTTTATTGTTTTGGATTTTCCTTCTGCAAAAGTCATAAACAAAAAAATGGACAGTATTCATTGTCATATTTTGGTGAATCTATATGTTATTTTGTAATTGTAAGGATTGGGAAATCTTCCTGTCATTAAAGCATTGTAAACAAGATATGGCAATTATTGTTAAATAGAATATAAGTTTCCTTATATGAAAGCTTATTTGATTTTATAAAAAGGTTGCAAGGTTAACAATCTTGTAGATATTGGTTTGTTCATTGAAAAATCCCTTCCAGGCACAATTTGGCCTTGTGTGATAGCCTTCTTAAAGCATTATAGTCAGAGCATGAATTATTCAAATACAAAATCAAAAGACATTGTCACATCATTGTATGATAGGAAAAGTGTACAGGAACAACAGAAATTGTATCTTCTGTCAAAACTAATACTTAATTTTTCATAGTTTGTACTTGGAACATTGAAAAAGCATGAACCATGGTAATTTGCGAATAAAAAGTCCATGAACATGTTAGAATGTGGTATAGGAAACACACAAGGTACGGTAGAGCTTGAGGTACATTTAATTTTCATTGGCCATTAACTGATCATATGGTATTATTTCAGTATTAACCTGATTCAAGCTTAGTTAGAAAAAACAAAAAGCACAATACATCTAATAGTGTTGTAGTTAAAACATTTCAGAACACACAATGCCTTGTGGTCATAAAAATTTGAAGTACGATTATCGTACTCAGATTCAACCAATCAAAATACTGGATCTTGTGTTTCGAGCACAGATTTTTACTCCAATTACTGAGTAAAGTTTCATGAGGACAGGGAGATGTGATATGAATATGATTGCCAATGAGAACACTCCACTGATGTAAGCAAATATAGATTACTGTACAGCCTTCAACAATGAGCAAAGCCCATAACGTATAGTAAGCTATAAAAGGCTCCTGCATGACAAAATGAGAAAACCAACAAACTGGTTCATGTTTAAAACAAAAAAACCTGAAAACATATATATGGTAGACAGCAACCAATCACAACCACTGAATTACAGGTTCCTGACCTCAGACAGGCTTACAAAGAAACATGGACTCAGCTGTTAATAAAAAAATGTGGTGATAACTACTGTAAATTCAGAAATTATTGCGAGGTTTATATGATTGCGAATAATGCAACTAGGTGAGTTTCGCATTAATTAGAACTTGCATTCAGATATCTGATACATACATCAGCATGCAGATTTTCCTGAAATTGCAATAATTAGTCTCGCATTTTTGTCCATTCTTCAAAAATGGCAATAATAAATGCACGCAATAATTTCTGAATTTACAGTATTATATGCTAAAGAATGTTTGAGCTGTGCTTAAAGTTCTTACCTGCAACCAGTAATGATGAACAACTAATACTGTTAAAAGAGAGATTATGTTTACAGTTTCTTTGATAGATAATGGATATTTAGTCAATGGCTTCATCTATTTGTACCAAATTCATCAAGACATTAGGTGTTTGGCTATTATAAGACTGCATTGTTTTTGAAACAGGTAAATATATAAATATAAAAATAAGGAGATGTGATAAGATTGCCAATGAGACAACTATCCAACAAAGTTGAAATGAAGTGGTTGTAAGCAATTATAGACCACCATGCTGCCTTCAACAATGAGAAAAACCCATACCATATAGTCAACTATAAAAGACCCTGAAGTTACTTTTTAAATGCAGCATATTCATTTCTCTAATACATTTCAAATGCAAGGCAAGCAGATATTATCTTTGATAGAGATATTTAAACCACTAATACCTGATAGTTTTGATAGTAAATACTTTGCATTTATTGGATAATCATGTTTTCTTTTGCTGGTGGCTGTTCTATAAAAACATACATGGGACTTGGGCAAGGCAACTTGAATTTGCTGCTATAAGTAGATGTGAAAAATTATGTTGCACATGATTAAAATATATACAGATCTCTAAGATAGCTTTTCTGGGTGGTTACTTTCTTTGTAAAGTTTCTTTCCTGGGTACCGATTATATTTTAAAATGAAATAAACATGGGTTTTACTTCTACTTTAATTGTTATCGTCACCATGTTTACTAGCTGCGGAACCGTAACTCTTATGGTCCTTTTTATATTTTTTTTTTGATTTTGCGGTAATTAGGTACGTAATGTTATAGAAAAATATCTAACAAAACGAAATAAACACATTTCTAAGCTACAAAAGAGAGGTAAATAGCCAAACTAACGGAAAGAAGTGCGACCTGAACCTGGGTTGCAATTCCGAACGTTTTGAAATAGGAAAAATCCGTAGCTCTATGGTCCGCAAATAGTCAAAAAATAACATAAGGACCTAAGAGCTACAGTTCCGCAGCTACATGTTTACTTGACAGTTTCTTGCAACTAGAATTTGAAATTAGGATTTATTTACCATTGGTATTTTGTTTTTGAAAATATGAGGTTGGAATTTTCAAAGCTGCTTTTTATAGAACACAAGTAAATATTCTTATTTTTTCTTCAGGATTTGACCACAACAAAGTTTCATGGACTAACAGGTAACATAATCTAGTTGCCTTTGATGTCGCATACTAATGGAAAACTTAGTATATAAAGAAATAGATCTTTAAATATGAGACAGATTGTCAAAAGATAGATATAAAGTAATTATTAACCATAGTATTGTAGTAGAAATTATATACTCAATGCTTGTTTCCACTTGAAATTTTGACATAATTTTGAAAAAGTCCCAAAATTTAAGAGGTGAATGAATCTTAATACAGTTTTACACTTAAAAGTGTCAAAATTAGATATAATAAGAAATTTTTGTTCTTTCAAAGTGTACATAATATACATGAAAATATATGTAATTTACAGATAAAAAAGTAGTGTCATTTTTGGTTATAAATAAATGATCAAACATCAAAACATTTATCATATAATAAAAAAAACAGTAACTCTTCATAAAAACATGATAAATAATGAAAATTACACTTTATAAATTTGGTGTGTCGAAATCACTTTTAAAAGCAGTTGATGCATAAGTACTGAAAGGATCAAAATGACCAACAAAATGGCCAAAATCACCTAAAGTCATCTTTGCCTGACTGGAGTTGGAACCTTAACTTCGTCATAATTTCTTTACCATTCAATGGAAAATTTAAGAAATGTATATTTAATCATGTCTGGTGACTCACTGACTACTGGGCTAATGTTACTCTCTGGGACCAAGAGTCCCCCAGCAAGTTATCTATCCAGTGTACACATCCGTAATTAGATAAGGCCCCTTATGTCAATCTATACATCAAGACAGTCAATTTTCTTTTAGTCTTTTCCAGATCAGCTGCTTCAAATCCAAATGAGTTGAATTGACTTAAAAAACAAAAAAGCATGAGGAGTTTTTTTTGTTTTTGTTGACCTTAGAAAAAGTAATCAAACAGGTATACATCAAATCATTTAAGGTATTTGGGAAAACAGGAATTTGAAGAAAAAATATACAAGATAAGTAAGCCCTGGATAGTTAATCTTTAACATCTGGACTCATCTTTCCTTTTGGTAATCGGTTACTTGGTTATCTCCCCTTCATATCTGTTTCCTCTACTTATTAGTTGAAATTCAGCAAAGTGGAATTATTTTATGGTCCCATTAACTTCAAGGTAACATGAGTCAACTGAAGTTGACTTTATAAAAATAAGTTGTGGTATGATTGCCTAAGAGAAAAAACCATACCTCATAGTAAGCAATAAAATGAAATGACAAATTAAGAACAATTCAAATGAAAAATCTAACAGCCTGATTAATGTACAAAACAAAAAATGAAAAACTAATATGATATACAACAACCACTGAATAGAATACTCCTGACTTGAGACAGGCACATATAGAATGTGGCGGCGTTAAACATGTTTATACCCTTTTCCCTACCTGGTACTTGCTTTTTTTAATTCAAATTTTAGAATGTAAGATGTGTTCAAGATTTTTTATTTGAAGGTTTCAGACTTCCCTGTTTGCTGTTTTTCATCAAGAGTCATTGAAATATTTTTACATGTTTATTTCAAAACAGAATTCAGTTAATTGGTTAGAGTTATGTCCCTTTATCTGTTGATATCTAATTTATGTATACTTTGTGTTTTCTTTATGTCCATTATAATCTCTTTGAAAAGGAAAGTGTTTGATTGATTGATTGTTGGTTGCTTAATATAAGTGTTTGAATATATTTCTACCATGTCTAACTTCCAATTGACATTTTAATTAATGGGCTATAAAATGTATTCCAAAATCAAATGTTCATAGTTATTACAAAATATATACCTTTTCATTCATTAGCAATACAGTAAGACTAGAAAGTTTAAAAGTTCAGGAGAATCTTTATATAAAAATAATGGCTGTCTGACCCTTTTTTTGCTTTCAAAGTATAAGTTTTGTACAACAGTCTAGAAGTAAAAGAAGTTCTGATATTGTAAATTTCTGGATAAATTTCCATTTAATTTACTGGTCCTTTGATAGTATGAAATAATAAGAATTGAATGAAACTTAAATTGTTCTTAGATCAGTTTTCAATTTGATACATATATTTTTATTGTAGTATTATTTGTGAAGATTTCTAGGCATTGAATTTTATGCAGTTCTTATAATTGTAATTTTAAAATTAAATCTACTATTTCGGTGCACAGATTGTTTTACTGTTCAAATTTAGTTTAGGAAAAAAAGTCAAGACTCGAGTTAAATAGAAGATATGCTTGGTAAGCTACAGAATGTGTAAGTAAATATGTATATTTCAAAACAGAATTTAGATAGTTAATTAGAGTTATCTCCCATTATCTGTTAATATCTAATTTATGTATACTTTATGTTTACTTTATGACCAGGAATATAAGTGTTCAAATATGTTTATTTCATTCTGAATTATATCTATAAGTTAAATTAACATGACAAAAACAATTACAATTGAGTAATCAAGATATATATAGTAGGATAAGAAGAATCAATATACTGATTTCCTGCACTGTTGTTGTTTGAACTGATAATTTCTATTTATGGAGTATTAACAATGAATGCAGCTAAAAATATTGAATAATAGATATACATTTATACATCCTATTTCTATTGTTATTCATATTTTGTATAT